GTCTTGATGAACAGGAACACACCCTGAGACTAAGTTTTGTTTGGCAGAGAAGCATCACTGCACCCAAGTATGGCAGTCAGCATCTGCCATCTTGCAGTTGATACATAAGAACTGCTGTCGCCACCTTGTTCCTACCTCTGTTTATGCAGCACTGCAATATCCATGCTTGTCTCTTATTTTCTAGGGGATTTGTGAGATATCTTACAAGTTCTCTCTGCGTTTGAGGTTTGAGGTTTGTTGTTGTTGTTGTTGTTTTTATTTTATTTTATTTTTTTTTAATCAGCAGGGGTTTCTTTGATCTATTCTTGGAAGAATATGGAGGGGGGGACTTTTAGTGCCCATATGGGCCATGGCATTCCCAAATTCCCACATGTGTGCCTACAGAATCCCCAATCCCCCAAATTGGATCTCTACCTACACTCATGTCAGTCTATTTTCTCCATTGAATTTGACAATACCCTGGGCTGCCCTATTGTAGCTCAGGTGGTCTGTCCGAGCCTTTTCTTTTGGCTGGGTTATCTCCTTAACTACATGCTGCCCTGTTGCTTCCTCCCATTCCTTCTTCTTTCTTGCCATCAGCTTTATTTGGGAAAGTCCTCATCCGTGGGAAAGTCCTGTTACTCTATGACTGATAGAATGTCTGAATCTTCTTATATATTGCTCTTTTTAGGGAAGAGGGCCATCCCAGCAACTGCTCTGTTCTGTCATCTTGTAGGTAGTGTCTCTGTTCTACAAATTTAAATGCTATATAAAGACAGTCGTTAAAGAAAATGAACATGGATCAAGTTCTTATTTTAGCTTCACTGACAATTTTCTGGCTTTAAGACAATGAGCTTAAGCAAATTCCCTTACTTGGAAGTTTATTCTTAGTTTATAATTATGTAGCTTTAAGAATAAATGATATGGCCCTCCTTGGTGGCACAGCGGGTTGTAGCGCTGCACTAAGAAGCTAAGCCAAGCCGCAGCTGCTTCAGTGTGAGTTCGATTGGAGCCCCACAGGAGATCCACATGGCGCAACAGACCTCTCCTCTTTCTCCCGTTGCTCCTCTCAGTAGAGTACTTCCTTGATCTGCCTGTTCTGCTTCCCATTTTGCCTCTGGTGAATCCTCTCACCAGCTCAGCAGCTCTGTCCTCTACCCTAGTTCGGTATGCATAAATAAATAAATCTTTAAAAAAAAAATCTCAATAAAAAGATAATAAATATTTCTTAACTTTACTGATTTTCTTGAAGATTTTTTATTTATTTATGCATACCGAACTGGGTACAGGCCATAGGTGCAGTGAGAGGATTCACCAGAGACAGAGTGGGGAGTAGAATGGGCAGATTGATGAAGCACACTGCTAAGGGAGAGCAGCAGGCAAGGCAGGAGAGGTTTGCTGTGCCATGTGAATCACCTTTGGGGATTGGATCAAACTCACACCGAAGCAGCAGCAACTAGCTTGCAGTGTTGCACTTTGACCCTTTGCACCACCAGGGAGGGGCCCACTTTACCAAGATTTTTAATATATTGATGTAACTTAATGATTTATCTTGAAATCTCTAGTCAAAAAGTTTTGACACTGATTATATGGGTGCATTTAAAGTCCTGCTTTAGCTCTTCAGCAAGAATTAAAGGAATACACAATCATATTTATCTCTGCTTCCAAAAGAAATCAGATTTTATTTGGACTTTATTATGACTTTGGTTTTCCTTATATTAAGATTAATGTAATGATAGGAGACATGATAGAAATATAAATTAGGTATACATTACAACCACATGGTGAACCACATAGGGAATTAGAGGTACTTTATATTTTCATAAGTCAAACTATTCAAGCTTGTTTAAATAGTATTGTTTGTGGTCTTAGGATATCTGGATTTTAGTAAGCTTAGCCACTTACAGCCATGACATCTTTAATAAGCAATTTACTTTATCGGAGCTTTCCTGATAACAACTATGTTCCATTGCTCATTACTTTATCATTCCATTCTTATAGTTGTACTTTGGAACTTAGTCAGCCCATTTAAATATCCACTTCTTAAAGCTCAAATTCCAATTTGTACTACCTAGTTTGTTTTTTTTCTCTCTATCACAAAACATCTACAGGTTATGTTTGGGGGATCTCTTAGACATTTAATTTCTCTTACTGTATCTACTTTATTTTGCCTTTATAGCCACCTTGGAATTTTACTTATATATTCAACTCAGAACCTAGGCCTTATCATATTGGCTACTCTGTCTCTATCCCCTTAATAGTTGTTCTCTCCTAGGCTTATCGCCTGTGCATTGTCAAAGCCTGAGCTTTGAATGGCTGCTCACTCTTACTCTGTATTTTTTATCAGAGCATT